AGAACACATAGCCAGATACCATCAAGCTATGGTTTGAAACTTACAAGCTAGACTTAATTGCTAAAATAAAGATGATGTATGTGTGGCTAAGCCAAGCCTGTTCCCACCTGAACATGAGTTATCAAGAAACCTTGCTGCACGCATATTGCAAAGCACAGCTCAGGACTAGCACCAGGGCTCATTACAATCTTCTTGCACAAAAGATGGCCTGCGTAATGAAAGGTAAGTGTATGTTTTTGGTGTACATTCAATTAAGAGACACTTCCTGGGCAACTTGTTTGGGTCCCCTCCCATTGTGGGAGCTTTTACTTGCTTTCTAAAAAAAAAAAAAAAGTTTAATTTCCTAAGACTGTCTCAAAAAGTAGATAGTGGGTTCCTGTTATCTGTTTTCCATATCTGAATGAAACTTCAGACTATAAGCACTAGTGTGGTAAGAATAAACTTATAGTCTATTTAGGGAGAATACCCTAAATTTGTTCATTTTCTCTCTCTTACACACTAGAAACATAAATAATAGGCATATATAAATATGAAAAATAATAGGCATATATAAACTGAACACATATACTTGTCTTTTTTATGTAGGATTTCAATTAAGAAAACTAATAAGAAGGCAGGTCTCGGTGGCTCAGCCTGTAATCCCAGTACTTTGGGATGCCAAGGCGAGTGGATTGCCTGAGCCCACAGGTTTGAGACCAACCCAGGCAACTTGGCAAGACCTCATCTCTACAATAAATCAAAAATTAGCCAGGTGTGGTAGTGCGCTCCTGTAGTTCTGACTACTTGGAAGACTGAGGCAGAAAGATTGCCAGAGCCCAGCAGGTAGACTCTGGGGTGGTAGTACAGTGTGCTACTGTACTCCAGCCTGGGCGATGGAGTGAACTCCAACAAAAAAGAAAAAAGAAAACTAATAACAAATATGAATACAAAAATCCCATAAATTATTTTTAACTTATTACAAAAAGATTTTCTAGGAACTACTTTGAAGAACTGTCTTAACATTTATAAAAGAAAATTTAAATAAAAGTTAAAGACAGTCTAATAAGCCCCCTTTATCTACCACCAAGCTTCAGTGATGGTCAAGTATCAAGCCAGTATTCTTTTTTCTGACTAAATCTAAAAAGAGTGTAAAACAGGTCAAATTCAAGGAGTTGTCCAGCAGAGTTGTCCAAAAAAACTATCTCCTCACCATTATCTTTCTTCATCTCCACCACTAGCACTTCTCTGACCCAAGCAGAGATCCACTGCTTTTTCTAAACCAGATATGTTAAACCACGTTCTAAACCAGATGTTTTAAACATGTTAAACCACCACCATGGCAGAGAGAAGAGGATTTCTCCTAACTCTAGAGAAAATAACTCCAAAGAACTCTTACTCTTTAGCACAAGACTCAAATCAGAAGCATCTTGAGATGACTCTGACATAAATATATTCAAGATTAATTTTTAGAAATTGATGTGCTACTCGGTGTCTGATACAGACATGCTCATGACTCATAATCGCTTTTTGCACAGGCTGCTTTATCAATCCATGCAAAATGTAGTTCAGTTGCAGCTGTTAAAATTTACAATTATCCTTCTATCTTGTGATACTGTGGTCGAAGCAATGCTGGTAATATTACTTGTTTTCAAGCTCAAAGAGCAGTATAATACTTTTTCTACTTTATCTTGCAAGTTGGAAATTAATCTGAACCCTGCCTATTATCCTGATTTTTCAATAAATTTTAGCCAAGTATATTAAAGTTTTGGTCAGATTAAAGGGGGACAAATATGAATATTTGAAACACCCAGCATTCAATCATTAATCCAAGGAATAAATAGACTGTCTGCATTGTTCCAAGGAAGAAGAGAGGACACTGGGCCTTATCTTGAACTTGGTCTGGTAGCCTTGATAAAATGGGTTACTCTGCTCTGACCTTGGGAGTCTATAGCCACCAAGGGTTGGACTTTCCACCCTGAACTCAGTCCCCTAATGACTGAGCTCACTGGCAGATACCCAGACTGAGGGTTATGCTTCAGGTTCCGAACTCTCCTGGCACCCAAATGCCTTCTTTTGTATTAAATATGCCACAGAGATGACTTGCATTGATTCCCATGTAGACGTACTCTGATTTGGAGCTATGTCCACTTTTCTCAATGTACTCATGTCCTTACCCCTTAAAAAGTGGAGATCCAATTTCTTAAGTTGCCATCCAAAATCATTCTTGTTTAAATCCCTACTACTACACCACATCTGAGCCTTTATCACCTCTTAAAGGTCCCCGGGACTTTGCAGACATGGCCCATCCTATGAACACCTTAGTCTTAGGTAACACAAGGTTCAGAATGTCCTAGGTTCTAGTTAGAGTGCCTCCAACCTCTTCTCATTCATTCATTCAACTCATGGTAATATGCTGAAAGCACCAGAAGTGGATATCAACTCACGTACTTACCGTCTTGAAGCGAGAGGGAGAGAGAGACTTAGACACAGAAACATGGTATCTTGACATGTGTTAGTTCTTTTTCACCCGACTTTCCATGAATGACTTTCCATAAACCTTCCCTTGACACTTAGCTCTAGCATACTTCTTGCCGCCTTCTAAGCGAATCTTGGTAACGGTGTTTCGTCCAAGAAGGTAACCTCACAAACATGCTGTTTCTGTTTCCACGCATCTCAACTTATCAGGTATGAAGCTACAGAAACAATATCCGATGTGGTCCCTCCAAGCATCTTCAAGGATTTGATCAACCCTCAGTATAATCCCTTCATCTCTCTTCTCAGAGGTTCAAACACTTGCTTGGTGCTTGATATAGTTTAGATTGCTGTCCCCTCCAAATCTCATGTGGAAATGAGATCCCCAGTGTTGAAGGTGGGGCCCAGTGGGTGGGTGATTGGATCGAGGGGGATCCTTCGTTGTGAGTATGCACTCTCTTTCTCCACCCTAAAGCTGGCTGTTTAAAAAGAGCCTGGCACCTCTTTCTCCCTCTTTCTCTTGCGTCTGCAGGCCACGTCACGTGACATGCCTGCTGCCTCTCTGCCTTCCGCCACGATTGTAAGTTTCCACCAGATGCCAGCACCATGCAGAACTGTGAGCCACATAAACTGTTTTTTCTTATCAATTGTCCAGACTCGAGTGTTTCTTTATAGTCACACAAAACAGACTGATACAGTGCTAGTGAACCCAGGCACGTTCTTCATCTCTCTTAAACCGAGGAAAACAAATGCTCACTTTCCAATGCACATGGGAGGGGGAGGGGAAGGAGAACAAAGCCCCCACCGTGCTGCAGAGACGTGGGAGGCCGCCTTCCCGACAATAACCCAGGCCTCAGTGGGACTGCAGTCCCAAGGAAAATCCAGGGCAGATCTGGTGTAGCACCATTCTTTTTTTAAATGTGTTTATTTTAAAGATGTGGGGTACAATTCAGGGTTAGGTATTCAAATGTTCATTACGCAGGTACCCTTGTTGATGAGGTGTGTCCCTAGTACCATTCTTTATCCTCTTCTCAGACTGCAAAGGAGAAAGGACGTGTTAATCACACTCAACTCTGCATCTGAAATTTGGGCCTAGAACAGCCGCAAAGCCTTGTCCCCTTTCCTGGCTCTGACTCTCCCAACCACAGCAGCAATTGCCTCAAATACTTCGGGTCATCACTGTGGAGGGAGGGGCCCAGCAACAAGGCAAGTTCCTGGTTTTCCTGAGCTCCCAAGTGCGGTTGAAGCCATCTCTGCCACCTTAGACGCTGTAGCACACACACTAAGCAAAATGTTACCAAGAACATGCAGATTCTTGGATCGTTTTCAATGACTAAGGGAAGGTACCAATTGTGAAAGAAAACCGAAAAAGCATCCACAATGACTGTGAAATCTTTTCATTCGCCACTCTTCAGCTAATTTGTTCTGATTGCAACTATTTCAAAAGACAAGATGACACACCAGGGAAGCAAAAAGATAAAAAAGGAAAATCTGCTCCCTGCTGAGGCCGGATCAGAGCTCAACCGGTGTTTGGAAGCAAAGGCAAATTTCTTCTTCAGCCCTAATGAAACCTCGTTAACTATGAATACTGGGAATTGAACTGATCTAGTGAGAGGAGTTGCTGGGTCCCTGGGGGGTCTTTAGGGTGGGGGGTTGGGGAGTTGGAGCATTCTTGGACTGTTTCAGTCTTTCTTCTTAAAGCAAGAGGATTTAAATATGTACTAAAAACTGTCCTCATTGGGGTATAAAAAGAAAGTGGAAGAACAAAATCAAAGTCCATCTTCTCTTCCAGATAGAAATATACACGACCCACATTCGTAAGAGATAGCCTACGCCTTGCTGCTTTTGGCTCCATTTTGTCAAATCCCTTTGTCAGCAACCCGCTTGTCCTACTGGGATAACGTTTTAACTGTGGTATGTAGGTTAGGAGTGTGCTCTCTGTTTACAAGGGATACATGGTTGTTACAATTACTGTAAAAAGCAGCAAACAAATAAGCTTTAGGACTCACCAGGCCAGGAAAAGCCGTGAGCCCTTCTATGTGTTGAAACAATCTGGGCTCCCCTCACAGTAAACAAGACTCAGAGACACAGAGCTGGATGCCTGCTCTGGGTGGGGGCTGGGATGGACAGTTACAGGATTTGATCGCCACGATATTCTTGCCTTGGAGTTTAATTTCCATGTAATTGAAAACGTCTGAAGCACATGCAGAGAGAAGACCTGCTTTATAAAACTGTATTACAAGAACGGGCAAAAAAAGGTCGTTCAACATACCAGCTAGGTACTCGATGTCATTCATTTATTCGATTCAGGTAGAATTTTCAAGCCGGGCACCACGGTGGCTCACGCCTGTAATCCATGCACTTTGGGAGACAGAGGCAAGAGGATTGCCTGAGACCAGGGGTTCGAGACCAGCCTGGGCAACCTGGCAAGACCTCGTCTCTACAATAAATAAAAAAATTAGCTGGGCATGGTGGCACATGCCTGTAGTTCCAACTACTTGGAGGGCTGAGGCGGAAGGACTGTCTGAGCCCAGCAGGTCGAGGCTGTGGTGGCTGCGAGCATGCCACTGCACTCAAGCCTGGGCGACGGAGTGAGAATCCAACTCAAAAAAAAAAAAAAAAAAAAAAAA